GGCATTGGCTCAAAATTAAAGAGCTAGGGTTACGCAGGTGTTGGTCCATGTTTCCACTTACCAGGGTTCCATTTTGGTACTGGTTTTTTGAGCCAGACCCATATGAATCTATCTATCCGTTTCAGGCACTGGGGAAACGTGGACATCTCAACGCCGCGCACGTTCGGTACTTCGGTCCAGGGAGGTCTGCTGGAGCTCCATGTGCTGCAGCAGGCTGCCCGAGTGCTTCAAAGCCTCCGAGTGCGGCTCCAGGTTCTTCACCTCCCCCGCGGGAAAGGGAGGGAGGGGAAGGGGCGGGGAAGGGGGGTGGGGGAAGGGGAGAAGGAGGGGGAGGGGGAGGGAGCTCCCAAAGTAACCCCCCCGAGCTTAAAGAGAAGGTTCCTTATTTAGTGAGATTAACCACCAGCTGCAAATCGAGGGGGCTCCAAAGTGTTTTCAAAGTCATGCGTGTTCTGACTTTAACCCCCAGAAACTGTGACAAAAACATCATGGCTGAGCTGTTTTTTGTTGGCATAGCCTTGGCATTGGCCTAGCCCTGGCACAGCCTGGCGTGCACGAAAGGAGACGCGAAAGGACCAAGGTTTGGGATGGGTTCACAGTAGGTTTGGGGGTAGTCCGGTTAGGGTAGGTCAAGGCCCGGCATCGTTTTAACATCCTCAGCATCGTTTTCATCCTCAGCATCACCAGGCTTTGGTTTGGGCTAGGTTTAGGGTGGGTTCCAGGTTGGCTCAGGGTTGGCTCCGGGTCGGTTCCAGGCCTATTAGGAGCAAACTTGGGGTGGCCGTGCTTGAGGTAGATGGCTTAGTGCTGGTTTATGGCGGGGCTTCTTGGGGCTGGTCTAGGCTGGGTTTAGGGCTGGTTTCGGGTGGGTTTAAAATTGGCTTCGGCCATCGTTGTGTTTAAGCCCACTTGGGTGGTTTAAGGTGGCACCCACCTACCTTAAACAACCTAAGCGGGCTTAAGCACAACCATGGCCGAGGCCAACTTAAAACCCTTCCTAAACCGGCCCTAAACCCACCCAAGACCAACCCCAAGAAGCCCGGCCCTTGTGTCCGACTCCCCTCGCCTTGCACCGCAGGCGGTGCAGCTTGCCCTGGTTGATGGACAGCGATGTGACTGGCAAAGCGCAAAGCCGCCCGAGGAACGACGAAACGGCGCTTGGGGAAACTGGCCTCATTATTTTACCATGATCAAAGTCACCCCCCCGTTCAGTGGTGGGTTCAAGGGACACAACCATTTTCTTGATTTTGATAACCCCCGGAAACCGCCAAAATCATGACCCTAGGGAAAGTGTCCCTTTTGGACATGGGAAAATGAGACGTCACCCATGGTCATTTTGGGGCTGGGAATGTTGATCAACCCCCCTGCACCAGAGTCAAACATCGGTTTGTTGACCCTGTTGACCCCTCTGCCAAATCACTTTTTCGCGGGCTTAATTCGGAAAACCCCTTGATTCCAATAAAGAAAGTCAAAGTCCAAAAAAGATCTCAGGCGATGCATTTGTGAGGGGGTTCACTTCGGAGGCCACATCGAGCATTTGACCCACAGATAGAGCGCTCCCAGCCTTTTTCCCCGTCAAAACCGGTCAACGGCTTGGGATTGGGGCCAGTTCCTACCAGGCACTCAATCGAGGCCCGAGCCAAAACGACAAAGCGCCCTGTGCCAGGTCCATTGGCAGGATTGCTCAACCACGACGCTGACAACATTGCCATATGCATTGAAAGAAACAACCTCCCAAAGTGGGCTTCTCTGCCGAAAAATATTGTGGATGGACTTGACTTATGCAGTAGCACTGGTTGGTTTGTCCGAAATACTTCATCCGTTCGTCCATCCACAGCCTGCTTTTGAGTCAGTTTGACATTCGGAGAAAGCAAAATCTCTGGGATGGCCGAGGTAGCCCAACTTCCGCGCACCGAACTGCCGAACACCTGTCCTCGGTGGTCCGTAGGTAGGCTGCTTTCTTGCTGGGCGCGGACAAGGGCATCTTCCTTGGACGAGCTGCGTCTGGAGAAGAAAAAAATGTATGCATCAAATTGGGATTTGGACCCCGCCCCAGACCAAAGGCGTTGTCCTTTCGCATCGCTTCAAAACAACCCAAAGCGGGGAACTGAGACAGAGAGAAAGAGAGACACATAGGAAGAGAGAGAGAGAGAGAGAGACAGAGAGAAAGAGAGATAGAGACACAGACGGCAGGGCAGACGCACACAAACACAGAAATCCAGTGAAGCCGCTCCGAAGCACCAGAACAGCCCGAAGCTTTCAGATGCTGGATAAAAGGGAAGACATAAGATTTGTGTCTTTTTGTGAGGGGTACCTTCTTATGGTTGGTTTAAAGGAACGCCCCCAGGACAACAAAACCACTTTGGAACCACCTGAGAAACTGCTGCCCCCGCTTGAGCTCAGCTTCCTCATCCTCGAGCTCATCAGCCTCGCCTTCTATCTCCTCTCGGTTGCTTTCTGCGAAGCCCTGCAAACAGTGACTAACTTTTAGTGGTTAAATTCGAGGGGGGGGGAGGGAAAACCCTCTTCGTTGGCAAAAAGCTGAAGAACATCCCTTGGCAAGTCCTGCGGAAGGCAGCGGCCGCAGCATCTGTCGATGATGTAAGCTCCTTCCAGTCGAGTCGAGTCGAGTCGAGGCGGGTCGAGCCTGTCGCAAAGGATCAGGACAGATTACCCCACTCCCCAAACCAGGCGTGAAGAGGTTCGGCTGTAGAAGGCAAAAACCAAAATGAGACTTTCTGCATCAAATGAATTGTCAAGCAAGGTTGCGCAAGGTTGCGGGCAAGCCCAATTGGTCCCTGCAGACCGAGAGGCCGAAAAACTTGCATGGCGCTTGGTACCTAAGTGGGTAAACGCCTTGTCACTTACCCGCTTCTAAGTCCACCCAAGTGAAAGGCAACCCTTGATGGGTCATGGCCATTAATTAACTTGGTCGAACATCCGGGCAATCATAGACCCGTGTCAGTTTCATGAATCTCAGCCAGGCTCTGGCACAATGTGTTGCTTTTTGTAGTTTGATGTGGGCAGTGGGAGGGGGTGGGCGGTTGTTTCCGCGAGGGGCCTGGATCACGCTTCAATACTGATGTGGTTTCGCCGATCCACATGGTTATGTGTAAAAAAAAGGAGTTGGACCCCCCAAAGTGTGGTTTCCTTTTTTGATTGCCAAAAGGGTGCCGAGCCTCACACAAACTCCCGCTTGGAGTTCAACCAAAGGCTGCCGTCTGCCCACCTCGCCCCCTCGCCGCAAAAAACTGGGGCCTGCAAGCAGCAGCAGCACCGTCAAGAGGCCGAAGGCGAAAATGGCGTGAACCCCATGCTGGGCGCGGTCATCCCACTCGTACACCTCACGGAAGCCAAATCAAAATGCCCCAAGTTGGGGAAATGCCCCAAGGGCCATGACCCCTCCAATGCACACCGGCGGACCCTCCAATGGAGAACCCCGACCAGTTCCTGAGGGCCAAATGGAAAACAAGCAGTTTTGAGGGAGGCTGGTGGCTTACCAGGATCGAGATTTCTGTTTGGCTTCCCTTGGTTGCCCAACAGGGGGGATCTGGCGAATGGTGACCTGAAAGGCCACGCAACACATGAGGTAACCTTTGAATCAGGGTTCACACAAATATTACTTTCCCAATATGACGTTCTATTTATTCTATTTGCATTATTTCAAGCATAATTTCACAGGGAAGGAGTTTAATCTGAATTGCCAGCTGCAATTTGATGCCGAGCATGAGTTGCTTTCCGAATTGGTCCTCATATACGTGTGATTGCACATTGAGCAGCAACTCATAAGCAAAAGGCATCTATTTTGGACTTGTAGATGGACCATTACACATTGTGACATACAATTGATTTGTGCCCTCAGATGGTACAAATGGCACAGACAAGGTAGGCTTGCAAGATAAATCACGGGGGGCTGAGCACACACACACACACACACATATATATATATATATGTACATTATATATATATATATATATATACATATTATATATATATATAGGTAAATCAGAAGCATGTGTTTTATAATTATAGATACGCTAGACAGGACCTGAGACACGTCTCCTGACGTACGCGGAAGCCAGGAGCCTCAGCGCTTGCATCCCAAGTGCGCAAACTCGCCCGCCGAACTCCGGCCAGAAGTGGTCGAAGCATTCGGCGCAGATGTCCTGGTTGGGTGACTGGCTCAGCCCGCAGGCGGTGAGCTGCGGTAGGTGCAGGAAGGAAGCATTGAGGATGTCCAACTTTTTGCCCAGAAAGTCGACTTTGTTGGTAGAAACAAAAGTTGTCGCAACATGTGTTGCGGACTCCGTGTAAGAAACCTTGAAGTCGTGAATCGGCGAGTTCGCTACGACTTGCAAGGTACGTCAGCCTTGACAAGCGCAAAGCTCTATTGGTCCAAGAGATGTGACGTTCACTTGTCGCCTTATTGGTTTATGCAGTCTAAGAGAAATAGGACCTGCTGGTTTGGCCCTCATTTGGGTAATTATCCAAACAATCAAACCGGTTGCTTGATCAAATACTTCTTGCCCGATGCCCCCCCAATTACTGTGGATGGACGAAATCCGCAAGGCTTGTTGGGGTGTTTACAATACAGGGGAAACGGATCATTCCAGGGATTCTGAACGGTGGTGCGATTTCTGGATTTCGCAAACATCCACAGTATGGGTGGCTTGTCGTTTTGGAGTTGGCACTCCTCCATCTCCCAAAAAAACTCCAAACTTGTTGTATGCCACTAATCTGGTCCAAACCCAAAAAGTATAAAGTCCATAAACTCAGGACATAAGCATCATGTTATCAGAGGGGTTCTCTCACGTTTCGTCCAACTGGCGCGACTTTTTCGTTCGATTTAGCCTCCTGTTTGGTTTTGGGGAGGTTCGCAACCATCCACAGGTCTGGGCCGTCCTCAAAGTTTGGACTTTTAGTGGGCCAAGATGGAAAACTACCTAGACTCTCCGTGACCCCTAGAAAAAGGGTCCCGGGGTGCACCTCTGGGTGGGAATTTCAGCCGTGCGGTTCAACTTAGCTCTCCTTTTTCTTGAAGACTTTGGTGGTTTTAGTGGCACCTAGACTCTCCATGACCCTTCAAAAATGGGGTCATTGCCCAAAAGAAAGGGGTCGTGACCCGCGGTCGCTCCTCGGAGGCGCAGCGCTTGCAGCCCACCACGCTGCAGGGCTCGCACAGCTGGGTGGCGTTATTCCTGACCGAGCACAGGAGAAGACGGTCCAGGGCGAATCTATGGATCCCCTGCAGAAAGATCAACAAACAATACCTGGAGTGGGTCCACGACCCCTTAATCTTGGGTACTGCCCCCATTTTTTGAGGGTCCGGGAGAGTACGAAAACACTGCTAAAAAAGGACCAACAAAAGAGGAATCAGACCGTTTTCTAGGGCACAGGTCTCAAAGTGCAAATCTATGGATTTTGTGTAGAATATTGAAAAAGAGTACTAAAAGACTACAAAAAAAGGAGCAACAAAGGGGGATAAACGGGAACGAATCCCTGAAAAACGCAGGGGGTAGACCGAAACCCGGGCGGACCCGAGCGGGCGCGTCCGACATTTTTACCCTATATAGAAATGTGGTTTTCTTCCAAAAACGTGTCGCGTGCAAATACAAACAACAAAATGCTTTTTCGCCCGAAGCGACCTGAAGCCTGGTTTATCAAAAGGGCCACTTCCATTTGCTTGAACACGAGAAAATATGTCCAGAGGGGGAGAATGAAACGCAATGGGTTTAGTTCGGATTCGCTAGGTTGGAGGTCTGTTTTTGTTCGGGGCCTGACCTGGAGAATGAGTTGCGCCATACCGTCGAACATTCGCCCAGTGGGTCACTTCGAAGGACAGGTTTCCCGCAAACAGAAACTTCCTTTGGCTAAGACCCCTGGAAAAAAAAGTGTCCAGTAGTGATAGATTCCCTTTAAAACCAACAGGGGGAAAAAATATTAAGCAAATGAAAGGAAAAAGAGAAAGTGGCCCTGAAGCAAACCTTCCAAACAGCCGTGTTTGAACATTTGTGGAGTTGCTACTTGTCCTCCCTTGTTTGGTGCTACGCCCCACACCTCCACATATCAGCTAGGGGGCGGTGGTTGGAAGTCTCACACTGTGGGGGACCCCACCCTGCTTGCTTATGCACACAGCACACTCCCAAAGGCTAACCTACCGAGAACCTGCGCTATGCCCAAGGCCAGTCAGCTATAGTAAACTGATCTCTGTCTGGACTCGGAGCCCTTAACTCACACGCGCCGTTCAAAGAAAAAACACATAGAAACTCACCCCCCCCCCCCCCCCCCCCGCATTTGGCGTTGGGCAAGCAAAGCAAAATGGACTGCAAGTGAACATGGGACAGAGCAAGGACAGATTTACTGTTAACCCCCGCTTCAATACGTCCGTTTTGATAGGGGGTGTTCCCTCCAACCCCCACTAAACAAGAATTGGGACACCCCCATCTCTCAAAATCAACCAGGGGTTTCACTTAGATCCGGGATCAAATGCTAACCACGGCTTAATGGGGAATTTTCGCCTTTGGAGGGGCCCCCGCCGATTATTTCGACGGGTTCTACAGTCTTGCTTCCCCTTCCTTTGCAGGTGGGGGGGAGTCATTATTTCCCTCTTCGCATGCGCCAACGCCTCAGGAAAAAAGAGAAACCTAACCAGCAACCCCTGAATACGAGTGAAGATATTGCAGTACCTTTCAGCAAATCTAAAAAAAGGAACCCAAAAAGGACAAGGAACCCCAAAACAAGCAAGGAAAAGGAAAACGAGAACTCCACAAGGAACCCCCCCCCCCAAAAAAAAAGAGAGCGAAGCCCTAGGTTTCTTGACAGTCCTTGAAGCTAAGACAAGCTAACATCATGGCCAAATCAAGCAACACATCTGGGCCGTCCTCAGATCCCATGCCAAAAGATTCACCTTTTGATGGGTTACATACGGACACTACTACTACACCAACTAAATGTCTTCAAAAGGCTAAGTTGAACCGGACGGCTGGGAACCACCAAGACATGCAAGGCAAAATGAGAAACAGCAGCCGAAATCTGCCGCTGCGGTGCGGGAACGCGCGGTTCGCGTTGGCTTGTGAGCACGTGGAGGCAGAAGCACATTGGAAGACACAGCCTGAAAATTCGATCCAACGCAAAGCAATCATGTACAATACTTGGATGTTCGGCCGAGCTAGCAAGTGGCTCGCCACGTGGTTTGTAACCCACTAGCAACACAATTCCATATTGTTGTTAAACAACACTCATAAGACTATTTCATCACACTTCAAGATGGTTGTGGGGAATGACCGTTTCTGTGTGATACCCGAGTAGTTGGTATGTATCTATGTGCACATGACTACTTTAGCATTAAGTTGGGGGTATTTTCCCTTGGCCAAAAACCTGAAGACGAATTTTCCGGTGCACTCCAGTCATCCGCATTTTCCTGATTCGCTTGGATTCCTCAAACCCACTCCATTTTTGGCAGGCTCTAACTTTGGGAACCGTCTCTGCCTATGCAACGAAATTGCAAAATCATGCAAACTGAGGCATCTTCAACATCTGGGAGTATAGATGTATAATATATGTATAACCATACCTTGAGCATCAAGTCATGGCGACATTCATCCCCTGAAATTAGTTTCATAGACACTGCGTATCTCCGACATCCCTTGCCGGTTTTGGAGGGGAGCCCACAGAACTCATGGAACACCACACAAGCGCTCGGTCAACCGAACCAACCTGACAAAGGCGCGGAGCCGTTGAGATAGCACGGCTCATACCAAGGCAGGCTTAGAGTGAAATCTGGACTGTTCAAAATGGAGAGTTGGCTCAATTCGATTTTCAATAATCCCATCAAGAAACCTCTGAATATTGAAATCAAATTGAACAAAGCAGCAGGGTCCCCTCAACTGCTCATTTGCCCAGTTTGGACCTGGAAATAAAAAGCAAAGCTTTTGGCACCTTGACTATGGAACCACTAAGGTCAGATAGTTAGATCCGGTCAATTCGCTTTGCGCGGGTGTTGCTTTCCAACCCATTTTGACACCACCCCCACCCCCCCCACCCCCAACCTCACCACCCCATTTTCCAAACCCCCACCCCACAACCCCCCCCCCACCCCAACCCCAACCCCCACCCCAACCCCTCCCCCCCCCAAATCCACCCCCTGGCTCCCCGATCAATCTAAGCGCCAAGCTGAGGTAAGAATGGGGCGCCACAAAGGGGCACTCCTCCGGGCAAACGCCTCGCAAATGGCCCAGGCCTGGGCAATCCGTCGTCACCTGCCGGATCCGTTTGTTTCTCCTCTGAACGAAAACTGAACAAGTGAGTTGGGCGAACTCCCTTGGGCCTGGAAACCAACGGCAGCAAATGTTGGAACCACCAAGAAGTAACATTTAAAACAAGAAGCTCAAGAGCTGGCTTCGGACAAGTGAGGTAAGAGTTGACTCAACATTTCTCTCAACGCTTTTTTGCAGGACCTGCTTTTGGCTGCGTTTAAACTCTGGTTGATGACCTGCCGATGGTTTGGTGGTTTGTCAGAGTTCAAATCGGGCTCCATCCCAACTGGTGCACATTTGTTTGTCCATCCACAGTATTTTTGTTTGAATGACCTGCTTTTGGCTGCCCTTCGAAGAGGGCCAGCATCTGATGGTTCAAACAAGCACCTCCGGAAACAGCAGCCAGTGCTTCGCCATTGCCAGACAAAGGGCACACATCTTTGCACGATCGTGGATTTCAACCAAAAGGGTAAAGTCTGAAGATCCAACCCAATAGCAGTCAAGAAGGGGTAAGATTGGTCCCTCAGCCCTTCAACCCCAAACTTCGGATTCAAATTATTTCGTTCTTCCTCACGTGTGTCAAGCCAAGATAATCGCAAGCGTCGGAGTTTCCGGCAGCTAGCTTGGCCTACTAGCCCCAAGCTACCACCCAAACGACATTCATATTGTTTCGGCTTTCGTAATGCTTTAATCAGTGCGCGCCGCAAATGTCAAGCTTGTGGTTTCACATCACAGCTTCCCACAGTTCACACTGTTTTTTTTTTTTTTGATTTTTTTTTTTTTTTTTTTTTTTTTTTTCGGGGAGCCTCCCCATGCCCAATAGGAGCCTTCCCTTTGAAATTCCTTTTCAACAAACCCACGGATGTGAAAGGGGGCCTCCTGACACCGCGTAAGGTGCCCGGGGAAAACACACCTGAACATCAACAGGGACAAACAACCGTTGACATATGCGCCAAATAACACAAGCCCACCTCAAAGGTCCCCCTAACAATAAATATATTTTTTGAGACCCCCAAAGCCCGGGAACACTACTTTTCAAGTCTAAAGCAGGTATTGTCCTGCCCGTACTCAATTCCAGGCCTATATGGGACCCTTTTGCACCTTCAATTCAGCAAGAGAACCCATTGTCCGAAAGAAAAACGCTCAGAGTACAACTTTTGAGTAAGAGGTTGTGAAGGAAACCTACTCGAGCGCCTGCTTGCAGTATTGTGGTTTTCAGCTACTAAGTAGTTACTCGGGGTAGGTTTTCCGACCCACAGGGAATACGAGCCTAATTATGCAAGTTTGCTTGGGCGGGGAATCACCGCGACTCAAATGTCACCACTCCCTGGCTGTCTCCTTCCCTCTCTCTCCTCCTCTCTCCACCCGAAGAATGTAGGCGGCCCGATTACTTCTTTCTTTCTTTCTTTCTTTCTTTCTTTCTTTCTTTCTAGGACCTGTGAGAATGACATGCTTGCCTGATGGATAAAAAATGCTCAACGCCCCTACCACGTTAATCTGCGACTTTGTGGCAAGGTTGAAATCCCAAGCCATCGCTTCAAAAGGGAGCCCAGGCCATGCAGAACCCGCAATCCCCTTGCACTGGGGGATGCCAACCCAGCTTGGACATTTCAACCCAACATGTTGCCAAAGCCACGCCTCTTGATGACAGCGCAATGGCTCGGACCGATCCACCACTCCACACTCCGCGTCGCTGATGGCCTGGGCCATGTAGAACCCAATCCCACAAACGAATTGGCTTTTTCTGTAGGAACCCAAAACAAAATTGGTACCTTCAAACACCTTAAGCTTCCCTTTTGTAAAACTCCGTGGGCATCTCCAAGGGGGTCAGCCACAAAATGACGCGTACGGCGATGATCAAAACTCCTTCCTCCCAAAAACGCATCGCGAGAACAAAAAACATCTTTCGCGAATCTTTCGCGACTCCGTCGCCACGTACTTTTGTTTGAAGCGTGCGCTTGGGAGCCGTTGTTGCTGCAGTGGAGCTTCCAAACCCAGTAGCTTGTTTACTCGCACCGGCGGGCTTGCAGCAACGTGAAATAGACAGTCACTACTATTCGCCCTTTGCACTTGCGCTTGCCGTTACTGCCATGTCCTGGGCTCAATGTGCGGAACCTTGCAACAAGCTGCATGGGCGTTCGTTCACTCTTTCGCGTGGGTCTTCTGCGAACCTTGCCCCAGAATAGCCCAGCCAAGATTTCCTTTGGCACCATTTGTCAGGATGGAAGTACAGTCGCTGCACATGTCCCAGTCTACAGAGCGTACAAGCATGCCTCCCAGAAGCTTGTGCTAAATCTTTCACGAGAAAAATATATTTCGCAGACTCCTTCACGGATCTTGTCCCAAAGAAGGCTCAGGCCTTGCGCAGTGCCTGTACTTACCCCTTAAAACTCCAAGCCCTGGGGAAGTTAATCTTTTACAGACATTTAGCCCATGTTACCCAAAAAGTTGAAAAGTTGTGTTTTAAGAGGTAAGTGTAGAATGCCCTTGACTCATGTTCCCCCTTCAGTGCAAGCTCTAGACACAAGAAGAGCCACGACAAGTTCAAACCAATGGCTCAGGGCTGCAAGAATTGCCCCTAAGAAGTGAAGCCCCCGACCCCAAAAAAACGAACCAAGCCGACCAACCAAAAAGAAACAAACAAACATGCCAACTAGGTCCTCCAGTAGAGAGGTTCGAATAAGGGTATCATTGTTTGTCTAGTTTTTGTCTATTTTGGTAGGGGAACCCTCCCCAAAAATTGGTAAATGGGCACTACTGGGGGACCTAGCCAACAGCACTGAAGCCAAACAACCCCAAAGTGCAATCGACTTTCACCCAACTGTACAGGTGGATCGAGGTCCGGTATGACAAGAGTTTCGGAAGAAGAAAAAAACAACGGCACCACGATGGATTTCGCGAGGGGAACTTCCAGCCAGCCAGCCGCGGATTGATTCTTCGATAATAGAACTCAGGCAGTGATTGTTGTGGAATCCATGGCCTCAGTTGTGTCAGTCGAACAGCGTCAATAGACCCCTCTGACCGCTGACCCCATTGGAGTTGTGTTTACCGAGCCCGAAATGCCTGCCCTGCATGGGAAATCAACCATCCATTTGCGAATACGTCCCCTGGAAACCAAATCGGTATATTTCCAGTGATAGATTCCCTTTAGATCCCTTTATGATTAATCCGGTCTTGCCTTTCATAAACGGACCCTCGATAATAAACTCCCTCCCCAGCCGAGCCCGACATTTGCCAGCAATATTAAATCAATGCTAAACTCTCTGGACGCCCGGTAAATCCCAGAGAGAGAGAGAGAGAGAGAGCGAGAAGGCCTCTGCACACAAGATGCAGGGCCCTATGGCGCCATCCGGCCCGGAAGCCCAGTAAATTCAAAAATGTTCTCAGGGGTCACTCCTTACCTTTGCTTTTGCATGGCCCCATGATTTTGGCGAATGACCAACCATTTTTCAAGGTCAGAAGGAGACTCCAGGTACTTATTAATTGGGACTTCCTTTTCAAAGTTCTTACTGAAAAGTTGATGCTGAGCGCATGCACTCTCTCCGAAGGGTTGCCTTCCGTGACAAGGTTTCAGTGTCTTTAATTGCGGTTTCACAAGGTTCCCTTCAGAAGGTGTCTTTCTGAAACAAATCTGGGTTTCTACTATTTGGTTTCTTTTGTTCAAAACTATTTCGCGGAAATTGCCTTTTGAGCACTTTTTGCGCATTCAACGGGGTCCGTCCCACTTCTTTAGTTGGAACCCAATACTAAACAAGCCAATCTGAAGCAGCTCTGACCAAAAACCAGGGGCCCAAAAACCAAAAACCCAGTTTACTATAGAGGGGATTAGAAAGGTAACCAGGTATGGCTACCTCTAGCTTTATATCAGGTTACCTATTTTCACAACTGGCAACGCTGGGGTAGATACGAAAAACGGTCCTCTCACTTGCTCGCTTGCCTACGCGATAGGAAAGTGAGCCCGCTGCATGCGTGTTTTGAGGCTGCCGCCCGCCTTCTCCCCAGCCACGGCTACCAGCATAAGCCACACACGAGCCATCTGCCCGCATAAAAGAAAAGCGATGGATGAGTCCAGGCCAAATTTGGCAGAAGGTTTCCAACATTTGGCAGAAGAAGTTGAAAGAAAGGGGCCTGAAGTTGAAAGAAAGGGGCTTGAAATTGGGAATCTTACTTGGGCAAAACCGAGCAGGCAATTTATGCGAATTGCTGGCAAGGGTAGGCCTGCAAACGCAAAGCACTGCCCCGTTTTGTCTAACCGCTCAACCCTTCTGGCCCAGATCAAAGAGAAAGCCTTTCTCGCCGCTTGGGCATCGCTGCTGGCAAATATTGGATGGAAGTCTGGGCTGAGTTCCGTCAAGGGCTTCTTCATAAGGTGGGGAAGCTGACAAATCCTTTCGCTTGACATGTCGCAACTGGGTCCGGACATGCGAGATCAAGGACTCCGCAAAGGGGATCCCCCAAAGAGATTGCTGAGAAACACGGTGTGTAGTTTCCGGTGTTTGCTGCTTTTCTTTGGGTGGAGGGCGGGGGGGTGGAGGGGGTTTCGTCCGTGTCAACGGTTCAGTGTGGAGGAAGCGGTCTAAAGCGCATAGCCTTGATTGGGTGGTACGGGTTTGCGGTTTTCTTCGAGTTCCACATCCACTCATTGAAAGCATCCCACTCCCAGTCGAGCCGAAAGCGGTTGCGACTGATGGTTGGTCCAAATTCTGCAGCTTGGACCCGACGTCAACACGCAGGTCGAGGAAACGCATGTCCAGAACCCCCCCCCCCACTTCTCTGCCAGGGTGGGGAAACGAAACCGAAAGCAGACGCAAGCGCAAACCTGGTCAACGCAAGCGGACGCCTCGGCTCACACATGTCCTAACTGGGTGCCCGATGGGGTCAGAAAAAAGGAAGGACAACAAAACACAATTTCTCCTCCCAGCTCCGAAACATGGGCTACTTAGCACGAGTCTCAACTTTTGGGATCATCAGAACTCGCTCAGTTCTATTGGTAGCAAAAATGGAACCAAGGGAAGGAATCCTTCGGAATCAGCCACGCTCCCCCAATTCCAAGCGAAAAGCAGAGCTTCTTCGCCAACCGTTTTGTGAGACTGGGCTAACAAAGACTCGTTCAGCGCTGAAAACCCCCTGAACCTCAACCAAAAAGCCGAGCCATAGTTCCTCCCATTTGACTGGCAAAGCAGCCCTGGTTGTCCGACTTACCAGGTTAACCATTTAGCTAAGTCCCAGGTTCGGGTCGAATCATTTACCCTTCCACCAAAAAACATGGAGCCTGACGGTCGGGTGTCCCTTCAAAGGAATTTGGTCCAAGCCAGAACCCCCCGAACGTCGAACGGTTCCGTGTTAGTTAGTGGCAGGCTACAACTTCGGTCTCAAATTCGTTGGGATCTTTGGGTTCCTTCTCGAACTCTGAGGCCTTCGGACTTCGGTCTCCGAGTTTGAGACAAACCGAATGGAGCCGAATGGAGCAAGCCGATTGCATAAGGCTCCAAAGAAACCCGAAATCACACGCTTTGTTCGCAGAAGGCGAACGAGGCAACTTGACAGACAGGCACCAGGCTTCTTCCTTTTGCTTGCGATCACTCCGGGCAGTCATGACCCTTGTGTGTTTGAGGCAGCCAAGCGCCGAAGGTGAAACTGGGCACTTATTCACTTACCCGCCGTGTCCAAACATGGGTGACTGCGCCAGCATCATAAGGGAAGTGAACCCCACAAAGGTGTAACAAGAAACAAACATGGCTACCCCGTAGTCAGCTTCTGACAAATCAGGGACCGCGTATGCTCCTTTCCGAATCAAAGACTGGGACAGGGCAGCATCCGCCGCATCCTTGCATCCGAGCATCCCAAGTGGCGCAGTTGAGGACATGCGATACGGGCGGCCCCTTGAGGGTGCGATGTCGCGCGTGCGCGCGCCGGTGCCCGGCGGCTGCAAACGCAGGCGACGAGTGTAAACAGCCAAAGCCGAAACTCAGCCGCCAGACCCCCTGATGTTCGAGAACCTTCCCCTGGTTGACGTTGGAAGGGGGGCAAAAAAAAACAGGTTTAAGCTGTTAAGTAAATATTTCCCACTAAACCACGATAGGACAAAAACACAAAAGTGTTTCCCAACAACCACCACATTCCAGGCGATGATTGAACATGCTCAAAACACTTGCTCTGTAATCGAAAATGCGAGGCTTCGTATCAAGAGGGTCGTGTGGCTGCAACAACGTTCACACGCTTTCCGAAGGAGATGAACGCATAGATGGACAGGAAGGTCCTGTGGAAGTAAAGAGCACTCTCCATGCAGGTGGGCCAAAATCAAGACCTGGTTTTCGGGCTGTCCTCAGATCCCCTGTAGTGGGTGAAATGGAAACTACCACTAACTCTAAAAGTGTTCAAAACGCTAAGGAACCGGACGGCTGGGAACCACTAAGGTTTCCTGACGGATCCGAAAAGGGGAAATCAAATGGGGCGGCAGGCGGTGCTTTGAAAGCATATGTCTTACGATAATCATCCGTGTACTCGTTTAGCCCCAAATACTAACACTCACCTACCCAGGTTACCTCGCCTTGTGGAGGAGTCCCCAATTTCCTCTAGTCTTCCTTGAAAAAGGAAAATGGAATCATACATGGAATTCAAGGTTTTACCCCGTCCCCCAACTCTATGTTTAAGCGGGCGGGGATCCCAGGATTTGATTGTGGCCCAACGCTGTCTGTTTCAAAAGAAGACTCTGGGGCTTTTCACCCCCGGAATCCTGGTCGGATTTGGGACACGGCTGCCGAGCCTTGCTTGCCCAAATGATTGAAAAGACATGTTGACCATTGGAGTGGACTGCGTAAGTGCCTGGACCCTGAAACAACAATTAACACGACAAGTGTTGTCTCAATGTTGGGTTGCAATATCTGTTTTAAACGGGTCCAGGTGGATTCTTTTGTGGTTGGGGGAAGTGAACACCAAAAAGGCGAAGGTAAGCTGCTGGAAAATACGTTTGTCCTGAAAATGGCCCAGTTGCTCAGGGGTCGCCATGCTGGGGTTACTCACGGGCTAAAACCCGCAAAACACATGCATCATAAACAGAACCTCCATTTGGTCAAGACCCTGGAAAAATGAACATATTTCCAGTAGTGATAAATTCGCTTTAAAACCAACAGGGGAAACATATTCATTTCAGCAAATGGAAGAGAGAAAAGCAACCCACTGGGTGGGAGGATGCGAACAGACTTTGTCAAACCGGGCCTTGGGCAAGCATCGGATCCTCGACGATGCCTCACGGCATCCTCGACTGCCGGCTGGTGCTGCCACATCTCCGGCTGGTGCGCGTCGCGGTCGCGCGCGCGTGTGAAGGCACTTCATGTTGCAGGACTCTGGGAACAAAAAACATGGGGCAGGGATGGTGGCCGGCCCCGAACCTAGCAGTGGAACCACTATAACTGGCTTCGATGCCAATCATTGTTCGGCCCATCGGGTGCAATCTGGGATTTCATCAGGAACGACGATGCAACATATTAACCCAGTCATGGCCCAAACAGTAGGTAGGAGCGGGGCGGAGCCTGTTTTGGTCCCCAGTTCCATTGATTCCAAGTCAAGGAGTCGGAATTCCCCCTGCCCCTGCTTAGCTAAGGGGATGGATGGGTGTGTGTGAAGTCAGGGGAGGGGGGTCCCCTTAAATCACTCCATCCAAAGGAAGCTCACTTTTCAATCCAGAAATCGCGACAATTTCAAACCAAAGTTCAAACCATTTATTGGTTGCTGTCGTTTCTGGGGAGGGGTTTCTTGGTGCAGGAGTTCGTGTGTCTACGCTACGTCTTTGTCCTTCCCACTTACCAAGCATTTGCAGCCCCGCTTTCTCTTCAGCTGCACCCCGGCTGTACGAGAAGCCGGAAGTCCCTGAAAAGGTGTTGACGGGGCCAACGAATCTTTACCCCCCCAAAAAAGACAAACAACAATGCCTTCCGCTGCCCGAGCGCTTAGAAGCACTCAGAAATGAAGTCTCTGGGACTCTGGGACCTCTTGGTTTCGTTTGCCCGAAGAGCGAGCACACACACACACACACACTCACACGCGCGCCCGGAATGACGAAGTGCTGTGCCCTTAAAAGAGTTTGGTTTTCTGGCTTCGGAGGCGCGGAGGTGAGATCAAGAATGGTACAATGCTTTGGGGGGGGGGGCGATGGAGGTACCCAGAGTGCAACATGGCAAGGTACCCGAATCCAAAAACCCGCCCCGCAATACCACGAAAATGATTGAAATTTGCCTCGCTTCCTGAGTTGATTGGCCAAAAAAAGTCCAAACTTTTTGTTTACCACCAAAATGGTCCAAGCCCAAAAAGTATAAAGTCCATGAACTCAGGGAGTGAGTTGCCCTGATGACCTCCAACCGCCTCTCGGAACTCTCCGTGGCGCAAAGCGAGGGGGCGCCGCTTTGCGAAGCCCGCCGAACAAACGCGACTGCCGTGCCAGGTGGCAGATCTCTCGACCGGGTTTTCCACTTTGTGACCAAGTGGACTTAAACCCGTGCTCGATTTCCCGAAAAGGGAAACGTCTGGGCTGAAGTCTACCTTGGGGTACCTAAACTCTCCATGACCCTTTAAAAATGCTCCCATGACCCCATTATTTTGGGGAATGACCCCATTTTTTAAGGGTCATGGAGACTCCAGGTAGTCAAAAAACGGAACCCTGTCTCTCGATGTCTAGAAAAATAGCCGAGCCAGGCGCAAGGGGCGAGGCACTCGAGGCGCGGGCTGGCTCGAAGCGTTCGGGCAGTGGCTGTGATCATCACAAAAAGGCAATGTCGACCCCATATTGACCAACCCCTGTGTATTCATGAGGTGCTTCTCCCTGGTGAAATGTAGCGCGAATCAGCCCACTTTTGGAGGGGCCCCCTACTGATAAACTAGGGTTGATTCATACGGGGTCAACATTACCAAACTTGGGAATACGCGGGTGGACTTCAGGCCATGTAGGTTCGATGTGAAAATGAAACAATCACGTCCCCCCCCCCAAGATTTCGAGCCTTCGACTTGTATAAATATGTAAAAAATAAAAATAAACATCTGCGACAATTGCGGTACTGTACTTGAAGGGAATTCCAACTGCCACTGCCACGTCACGTTCTTGTGAACTAAAGCGTCCACCGAGCTACTTATCTGCAGCGCTTACAAGGACAGCCGCGTTGACGGCTGTAACCCAGGAGTGCGCGGCATCGCACCGCTCCTTAGGTGAAAAAAAAGACCCCTGCCCCCGAACCATCGGCTCCTAGGTGACCTTTGGAAAAACCTGAGTCATTATTTTGACGGTTTCTGGGGGGGTATCGAAGTCAGAAAATGGTTGGTTGTTTCCCTTTAACCCACCACTGAACGGGGTGACTTTGATCATGGTAAAATAATGAGGCCAGAAAACTGGTAAATGTTTTATGAAACCAATTTGAATCAGTGGAACTGTGGAACCCATCGATTTCTAACCAAACTATATAACCGATCAAATGACTCCGTGATGCCAATGTCCCTCCTTGCTCAACTGAAGTGTTGGCCGGGTCTCTGGGATTTCGCGTCCTCGTCAACCAAGTCCGGCATTGCCTTTCTTACCTCAGGTCAAAAGGCGAGTCGGGAGTTGCCAGGACGTGCAACAGAAGCATCGAGCGCTTGCTCTTGAAACTTCTGGAAAAAGGCATTGGACACTTTGGCTGAATCCACGCCCTCAGACAAACATGGAAGCTCTCAGAAGGCCTTTCCCTAACCCAGGACCTAGCAAGCCGCCAGCCAAGCCGCCAGCCAGCCAGCCAGCCAGCCAGCCAGCCAGCTAGCCGGCCGGCAAGCAAGCACACACGCACACACAGAGACACACAGCCACACAGAGACACTCAGACACCCAGAGACTCACAAACACACAGAAAAACACAGAGACACACACACACAACACAACACAACACAACACAACACAACACAACACAACCCAACACAACCAAACCCCACGCCACGCCACGCCACGCCACGCCACGCCACGCCACGCCCCCACACACACACACACACACACACACACACACACAAAGAAACACGCACACGGGCACACTTGCACCAACACACATGCGCACCAACACACACACACACACACACCCACCCACCCACGCACGCACGCACGCACTCACCCACCCACCCACGCACGCACGCACGACCGCACACACGCACCCACCCACCCACGCACCCACGCACCCACGCACGCACGCATGCGCACGTGTCACACACGCACATGTCACACACACACACACGCACGCACGCACGCACGCACGCACGCACGCACACACGCACGCACGCACCCACACACACACAGACACACACGTCGCACACACACACACACGAACAAAACACACAAAAACACACAAAAACACACACACACACACACACACACACACACACACACACACACACACACACACACACACACACACACACACACACACACACAAAAAAAAAAAAAAACACAAACACAAACACAAACACAAACACAAACACACACACACAGACACAGACACAGACACAGACACAGACACAGACACAGACACACAGACACAGACACAGACACAGACACACAGACACAGACACAGACACAGACACAGACACAACACACAGACACAGACACAGACACAGACACAGACACAGACACAGACACAGACACAGACACAGACACAGACACAGCACACAGACCACAGCCACAGCCACAGCCACAGCCACACAGCCACAGCCACAGACACACAGAGAGACACAGAGACACAGAGACACAGAGACACAGAGACACAGAGACACAGAGACACAGAGACACAGAGACACAGAGACACAGAGACACAGAGACACAGAGACACAGAGACACAGACAGACACACAGACACACAGACACACAGACACACAGACACACAGACACAGACACACAGACACACAGACACACCGACACACAGACACACAGACACACAGACACACAGACACACAGACACACAGACACACAGACACACAGACACAGAGACACAGAGACACAGAGACACAGAGACACAGAGACACAGAGACACAGAGACACAGAGACACAGAGACACAGAGACACAGAGACACAGAGCACAGAGACACAGAGACACAGAGACACAGAGACACAGAGACACAGAGACACAGAGACACAGAGACACAGAGACACAGAGACACAGAGACGCAGAGACACAAAGACACAGAGACACAGAGACACAGAGACACAGAGACACAGAGACACAGAGACACAGAGACACAGAGACACAGAGACACAGAGACACAGAGACACAGAGACACAGAGACACAGAGACACAGAGACACAGAGACACAGAGACACAGAGACACAGAGACACAGAGACACAGAGACACAGAGACACAGAGACACAGAGACACAGAGACACAGAGACACAGAGACACAGAGACACAGAGACACAGAGACACAGAGACACAGAGACACAGAGACACAGAGACACAGAGACACAGAGACACAGAGACACAGAGACACAGACACAGAGACACAGAGACACAGAGACACAGAGACACAGAGACACAGAGACACAGAGACACAGAGACACAGAGACACAGAGACACAGAGACACAGAGACACAGAGACACAGAGACACAGAGACACAGAGACACAGAGACACAGAGACACAGAGACACAGAGACACAGAGACACAGAGACACAGAGACACAGAGACACAGAGACACAGAGACACAGAGACACAGAGACACAGAGACACAGAGACACAGAGACACAGAGACACAGAGACACAGAGACACAGAGACACAGAGACACAGAGACACAGAGACACAGAGCCACAGAGACACAGACACACAGACACACAGACACACAGACACACAGACACACAGACACACAGACACACAGACACACAGACACACAGACACACAGACACACAGACACACAGACACACAGACACACAGACACAGACCCAAGACACACAGACACACAGACACACAGGGGGGGGGGGGGGCACCCCCAACACCAGACACACAGGACACACAGGGAACACACAGACACACAGACAACACAGACAACAGACACACAGACACACACAGACACAGGGCCACACAGACACACAGACAACCCAGACACACAGAAACACAGACACCCAACCACACACACCCACACACTACGCGCGCGCACATCCATTACATCACATCACATCACATCACATCACATCACATCACATCACATCACATCACATCACATCACACACACACGCACACACGTCACACACACACACATGTTACACACATGTCATACACACACACACACACATGTCACACTCACACACACACACACATGTCACACACACACACGTCACACACACACATGTCACACACACACACACATGACCCACACACACGTCACACACACCCACACGCACATGCGCGCACACACACACACACATGTCACACACACACACACACACACACACACGCACACGCACATGCACACGCACAAGCACTGCACACACACACACACACAACCATCAGCCCAGCGACTGCCAGCAAGTCCTTCAGGACCGGGTTTTGGTGGCTAAAGCTGATTGGCAGAATCTTTGCCAGGATCTCAGTTAGGGCATTTGTCCATCTATTGTCTTCACGCTTTTCCTTGTCTCTCTACTTGTCCACCTGGAACTGACACCAGACACTCCCGCTGACAACTTAAGGTTGCGGCCCTCTTCAAAAAACTATCTACTGCAGCTTTTGCCCGCCCAAACTCATAGCTTGCTTCTGGATATGCCATGAACCAGATGTCAAGAAAGTCGTAACAAGATCATGGAAATCCGCCCCCCCCCCCCCCCCAACCCGCACTTTTTCCGAGGGGCTAGCGCCTTGATGTAGGGGCTTTTTAGGGCCAGTTGCTTCAAGGCCTGCCGTTTGTCCTCCTCTGACAGGTCGGACTCCAAGACCTGCCGGAGAATCCAATTTTGAAAGCAACTTCTGCCGAAAATGGCAGCCCATTTCAATGGCTACGCCCTAAGGTGGTCGCAAGCTGTACAGGAAAGCTTGACAACCAAGGCAGAAACAATCTTGCTGGTACTCGTGCTAGAAAAAAGCGCCGATGCAGACACTCCGAAATACCCTGCACCCCCCCCCCGGTAGACCTTAAACCCTGCAAAATAAGTTGCAACACACCGACTAAAACATGACCTTTCTGGACTGCAACTCTTGGGTCAAAGTTCAAAACAATGACACCAAGAAAAACCCACCTCTGCTCATCGGTCAATGCGGTCAATGTACCTCCTGGTGCCTTTGCCCGTTCCAGTATTATTTTTCAAAATTGCGCCAAGATGCTCTACCCCACTGGAAGGAGTTCCAGCAAAGCACCACAGGGGCCAGGTCCTCTTGGTGTCAAGAATCCTATGCATTATTCTCCCTGGCAAGCGACCCCCTCTGCTTTTCACTCGTGGGTGCAATTCAGAAAATTCACAAACTGTCAACCTCAAAAAGTTCAAGTTCAAAGATCCAGCAAACCAAATAGCCATACACTAAAGAAAAAAGAAGGAAGGCGTTTTGGCTGATGCCACTTCTGGGCGGTCCTCACATCCCTGCTAAAAGTTTCAACTTTTAGTGGGTTAAATGAAAACTACCACTAAGCCCTAAAAGTGCATTAAGCTTCGGAAGTGGACTGGGAGCGGCTGGGAGCCAAGACTTCCAGCGCCCGCCTGGTTCACAGACTTCTTATAGCCAGAGCGGACGCCTTTTGGCGGGCGCTGGGCACTGTTCGCGTCGGTCTCATGCTCCACGTCGTGGCAAAAACCGCCTCGGGTTCCCAACTCGAGGGCCCCCTCGAGTCACGGCAAGGAAATTCTATGCTCCACATAGAGATATAGACTGGGCCCGTTTTCGGATCCCCCGCTAAAAGTGACTAATTGTTTAGTGGGTTAAATGGAAACTACCACTAAACACTAAAAGGCTAAAAGGCTATGGGTATGGCTGGGAGCCACCAAGTATATATGTACATATATAGTCTTTTTCAACCAGGGCGCCCATTTCGACGAAGGCAACCTGTGTCTCACTTGGGCCTGTCCCCACTCTTTCGGTCTCAGCCTGGGAAAGGTCAATACCTCTTTTTGGACTCCCAAAAATGAGCCCGCCCAGTGCCACATGTCGGAAAGGTTGGATTCGGAAGCAGTGACCCGAGCGTGTCATCTGTTAGGCTAGTTTTCCCGGGGCGTTGTTTCAAAGGGAAGCAAGGGAAACCAGCCATTCTGAAACATACACATTGTATTGCTTTCTCAAAACAATTGCAACCCCGGCTGAACCGAACCCCAAAATAGATGTTTCAAGAAAAGGGTCACTTCCTTTAGAATAGTGTTGTAGAGGCAACCTAGATCAACAAAGCGTCTCTGTCTGCTCATGGCTAATCCATGTGAAAGAAACCAGGTCAAAATCAGGTCAGAACCCAAAACCAAAACCAGGTCAAAACCAGGTCAAATCAGGTCAAGACATGCTCGTCTACCCAAAACCAGGGACCAAACCCAGCGTGGCCCTTCAGCCCTGAAGCTCTCGCTGAGGACCAACCCAAAGCTTTAACTTCTCGAGTGTGTTGGCAGACAAAGTCTGAACTCGTTGTTCAATTTGTTGAACTGGGTGTGGCTCAAAATTAAAGAGCCAGGACCAAGGTGCGATTTTGGTACATCTTTTTGAGCCACAGCCAACTAGGTCCTCCAGATTTGAGAGGATAGAACAAGGGTCCCCGATTTTTTCGGTAGTCTATCGTAGTAGGGGGGCCCTCCCTCAAAAAAAGTGGAGAGAAGGGCACTACCGGGAGACCTAGAAAAATCACGAACACGATCCAAACCAAACACCTCCAGCTGAGCCGACTCGAGTCTTCGGAATCCCCGGACTTCTCCAAGCGACACTCCACGCCATTGCGACAGCCATCCGGCAACGAGACGAAGCGGCACGGCATGCACCTGCGTGCGATGGCAAGCCGACGACAGCCCCTAAACCCGCCCTGTATATTGGGCACTCTTTAATGGCTCGCTGGCTGAGTGGATGGCCCAAAAAAAAGTCCATTTTTTTCTGTACCACTAAAATGGTCCTCCCAAAAAGTTTAAAGTTCATGAACTCAGGAAGTGAGGTAATGGTGGAAGTACGTACCAAGCACAATGGTCAGGCAATTGATTGCGATTATTGTTTGCATGGATACAGTGGTGAGACCTTGCTGGACGATCGCAAAACAAATGGTACCCCACTGGGAGTTCACAGGATGGTCATGCCTGAAGAGAGGTTAGTGAAACTTACAAAACATCAGGAACCAGCTCTGGGTTGGTCATAGTCCCTGGCATCCCTGGTTTCTAGCCAACTTATAAGGGGCAGCCCTTTTGGGGAGAGGGCTATGAACATCAGCAGGGCTTTTGGGTTCATTTGCCCTTACTTCAGCCTGGCACTGGGCTATCCGCCCCCTTCTTGTTTGTCGAAATTTGCCTTTTCTGCAGTCCCTCCCCCGCCCGTGCTTGCTTGTCGAGATCGACCCATTTGGCAGGAGGAAAGGAATGGGTTTGCCTTGGGGGTTCCCAAAGGAGTAGCTTCCTTTTGGCTTCCCTTTGCATATCCCCAACTTCTGCCACCCCTTTGCTTGGTGTAAACATCAAATGGAACCTGAACACCACTCTGTCCGACCCAAAGAACAACAGCTCAAATAAGGGACAAAGAAAGGAACCTGTATCATGAGACCAGGGTCACCCAGAGAGGGGATTCCATTCTGTTTCCCGACCCCTCAAACATGGCAAGGGGAAATAACTGCTCACGTCAAAAAAAGAGAAAAACAGAAAAAGAAAAAAAAAAGAAAAACGATGCTGCGGCGATCGGCCCCCTTGCCATAGATGGTCCGGGACGAGTCGCTAGTGGGTAGTGCAACCCACTTACCCACCATGCACATGCTTGCAAACGACCAGGCTTATAAGTCCACGCTGGGTGGTTCATCAATAAATTATTTATCAAATTTATGATTATTATTATCAATAATAATATTATTATCATTAAATGAGCCATTTGAAGGCCATCTAGCCTTTGCGTTGCACCCCTTCCGTGCCACGAGTTCGCACGAAATTCTGGTCGCCATCTCCGTTCCACCCCTTCGAGGAACGGGGCCAATTGAACCGGGCCAAAGGAGTTGTTTAAAAAAGGTCGACCTTCTGGAACCTCCAAAAATGGGGCTTTAGGGTTTTAGGGTTTTAGGGTTTAGGGAAACCAAATGCTCAGGTCAATTCGCTTTCAGCTGCTGCGGTCCTTTTCTACTTTCCCCGCTCTCGGCTTCCCAAGGAGACACGAGATTCGTTGGGTACGTGTTGTGTTCTTCCCTTTTTTGTTTTTCTTTTCTTTTTTTTTCCCCTCTCTCCGGGGGAAGAGACTACTGACATGAGGCCTCAAAATCTTCAACTGAAGGGATCACAATTTGGATTCCATGAGCCTTTGAAACTGGCGTGCGCCCGTACCTGGATACCTCATTGCCCCAACCGTGTGTTTACCCAATAACCCACTCATGGGAACTATTGACCACTCGGACGGTCAGACTTATAACCCAAAGCCATGGTTCAAGCTAAGTCCCAAGCACACCGATTCAAGGCTCGTTAACCCCCCCCCCCCCAGGTGAAGCTTGAAGCCAAGCCAGAGAAAAACTTACGCTACGTCCAGTGATAGATTCCCATCAAAGCATATTATAACCAACAAGGGAAAACCAAGAAATAGTAGGCAAATGGAGGCAACGCATCAAAGCTCAACTCTTCGCCGTCTTAAGCCCCGGTTCAAGCGCTCCCGAAGCCTCCCGCGGGCGAAGCGAATCTCTCTGGCCTTCCTTGGCTGTGAAATCTCGAGCCCACGGACGAGAATGCCACGCCCGGCGGCTCTCGATCTTTTCGCGCTGGCCTCAGGTGACACTTCCAACCCAAGAACCAAAACGCGGGAAACCAAACCTCTGGTCAGTCTGTGTCTTAGGTGTTCATTCCGATGTAATCCCACACAGCGAAAAAGATCCATGTGCGTTGCCTGGAAGAAGCAAATCTACGCCAAACCAAGCTTCGCCCCGGGATGGAATTGGTTTTAAGCTCCGGGACGTGAAATGTGGCAAAAGCAGAACCGCTTCTTTTGCGGTTGTTTTTTTGTGGGAAACCTACCAAACGGCGCGAAGAAATGGGGTGCCCCAATCAAGAATCCCCTCGTTTGAAACGTGGAAAAAGGAGCTTGAAAGAGGCAACAAGAGAGCCTTGAGTGGAAAGCTGGCTGCATCCCCAAAGCAACAATACAGACCCCCCAAAAAACAACAAGTACTGGACAGGCAGTTTCAACCTAAATTCTACCAAAAGGGTAGGTGTCAAAATAGGGGGACCCAACACATGCGTCGTCTTGCTGGTTCCCCTTTCAGAAAAAGTACCATCAACATGAGGGCGTTGTGGGAGGGCACTTGTTTGCACACTTCGAGCTGTCTAAAGTGTTGAGATCTGAATTGCTGGCCCACATACCGGAAAACAAAGAAAACCCAGAAATCCAAAAAAATAAACATGCCGCCCCCCAGCCCTCTTAGTTTGTTCAATATCTTTTTGTTGGTGGGTTCTCGTTGTTTCTGTTTGTGCGCGCTTCGTTTGTATTAACATGTCCTGCCAAACTGCAAAAAACAAACCAACTCGAGAAGCACACGTTTTGCAGCGGACCGTGGGTGGGTGGGTGGGTGGGTGTATGTGTGTGTGTGCAATACGGTGGACGGACGAAAACCTGCACTACTTAGGAAATGTTGGGAAGAATCCCTGAAAGCCCAAGACCTCATTATTTGAGGCCTTTGGGGGTCAAAGGCCCGCAACATGTTAGGCTCTGGGGCTAGGGAGTTTGAATTTTCCATGGTTTCAAAGTGCAGAGTTTCGTCCATCAGTATGACTTCTGTTCTTTCATATGTACTTTTCCGCCCAAGCTTGTTTCAGGCAAGAGCTCTGGCTCAAGCGCGCGATCCCAAAGCACAACCTTCCATGTGTGTTTTCCCCGGAAACATGGGCAAATCCCACTTCCAGTCGTGATAGATCGATGCCCTTTAAAGCCAACAAGGGAAAATGACAACTGTTCATTTCAGCAAAATGCAAGCAACTCAGCTGGGCTTCTCTTGTGAAGGTCGCAAGGTTGGAGCTGGCGGACGCAACGAAGGGTTCGGCGGATTTGCACTGGGATTGTCTCCATGGCCACCTCGGAAGGCCGGGCACCTCTTCGATTTTGACACTTATTTTGGTGGGCGGGAGGTTACCAACTTGTTTGTCTTTTTTGTGGGAATCGCACAGGTAAATATGTTTTGGGTGTCTGCTTTTTTGGGGCTCACCAACTTGCCTGTGTTGTTTTGTGTGGGAAACCAACAGGTACCAATATTCTTCCGGGTGTGTGCCCCCGTGTTTTTTTTCTTTTGGGGGGGGGGGGGGTTTATGGATTGTGTTGCTGCTTGTGGGAAGCCCAAACAAAACCCTTGCTTCCCTTAAGAAAAAGAAGACTTCACCGTTTCGGCTTGCGGCTCTTTGTGGCCAATATCACCTGGCTTAGTGATCCCCTGCCGTAAGGGGGAGGGGAATTCCATGTATCTAGACTCTCCTGGGTCATTGCCTAAAATTAAGGGGTCATGACCCCTTTCTCTAGGGGTCATGGAGACTCTAGGTAGTCTTCCCTAAAAGGAAATACAACCAGACATGAAACTCCCATAGTCACCCCCCTCCCCAATTCCATGTTTGAGCGGGTGGGGATGCTTAGTGCCTCGTCTGGATTTTAGGTGTGGCTCTTCCAGGGAAGCAGGACACCCGAAGCAATGTTGGGGGCCCGACCCCAACTTTTTCATACAAAAAGAAAGTCTAAGCTGAGGACAAACTACAAAACTAGCCCGTTTTCTCTCACACTAGTTTCGCACCAAAGACACACAGTCGTACAAAACTGACTCATCACTGAAGCGAATTGGCTCTTTTTCAAAGACGACCCTTTGGGCACGAGTCACCAATGCACGACATGAAGGATTGGGATTCCAGTGCATCTCTCTCACCGGAAAGGCATTCTGGTCATTTTGTTAGGTTGAGCTATGGAAAAACTAACTTGAGTGGATGAGCCAAAACAAGCCTAAACTTGTTGTAACCACTGGCATGGTCTTCCCATGTCCAACCAGTAAAAAGTTCAGAATCTCAAGGAGTGTTAAACCTACAATGCTTAACACTTGACCTAACATCTTCCGTCTATGAATGCATGTGCCCTGATCCTGGGCGCTGCCCAAGGGTACACCAAAAATCGCATTTTCAGATGTTGGTTTTTACTTCGCCTACCCTATAGCTAAGACAAATACAAGTAGCTGAGGAGACCCCTGCGTCAATCAATGCCTTGATCCCCGCCCAAGTTCGGCCTCCGAGAAATGGGGGGAGAGGCTACAATAAGGGTACCCTTTTCTCTGTAGTCTATGTTAGTGGGGAACCCTCCCCCAAAAAAAGGGGTGAGAAAGGGCACTACTGGGGGACCTGGTCATGTTTCATTGTAAATCTGAGCCTCAGTTATGCAAAGGACCCGGAAATAAAAGCGGATCATCTTCCATTTGCTTCAGCCCCTGAAAGCATGATTTTTGAAAAACAACAACATGTTTTCAGTAGTGATAGATTCCCTTTAAAACCAGCAAGGGAAAATAAAACCCGTTCTTAAGCAAATGGATGTCATTGATCACAGTTCCTTCCATTTGCCCTCTCCCCTGGAAAAAATGGCAAATATGTCAGTGATAGATTTACTTGAAAACCAACAAGGGAAAAACAAAAGCAAAAGCTGTTGAGCAAATGGAAGTTTGGGGGGGGAGATGACTAAAAATGGGCCAAAAGGGGAAACCAACAATCAGGTTGATTCACTTTGGGCAAGCAAGCACACATGCTACGGCAGTGTTTTGAGTGCAAGACTGCGACATCGGGCTTGAAAAAACCGCTGGTAGCTGGCACAAAGAGGCATCCATAAAGGCACGGACGCTTCGACTCGCATAAAAAATTGTTTTACCCTGCCTGTCTTGTCGTCTGAGTTGGAGCTGGAATGCTTTTGCACAGAGCCCGACTCACGTGAGTCAGAGCCTCAGCGGCTGAGAGGTTTGGACGGTCCCCTTTGGGGGGCCGATTGCCACTTGATGAGTTTCATATTGCGGTGATGTCTAAGGAGAGACAAAGAAAACGAGTGCTCAAGCGTTGAGGATTGCAGAAGTTGTGCCAAAAAACACATCGGCCAGGGGGTGGATTTGAAAAAGCGCTTCCAAAACACCTAATACAACCAGACTAGTTGGCACTTGAGCGCATTGTTTAACCGACGGCCAGCTGTTTCAGGCACTTTGGGAGGCCATGGCAAGCGGTTGGCACCTGAATCCCGGTGGTCCAAAAAACGGCGACCCTTGGTGCGTGAAAGGGGCCTTTGCACAAATGACAGCAACCTTTTTGTTGAGATGCATGCATGACATGGTGCACCTGGACATTCATCAGCACGGCTGGTTTTCTCGCAAGGCCTATCAGTCAGCGAAAGGCTGGACTCTGACGCTTTCAGGGGGTGCTTCAGGAATTGCCCATCGGGGAGAAGCAACTTCAAGCTCGGGCTTGGACCAGTTTATCTTCTGAACTCAGAGCTCAACTTGAGTCACACTCAAAACCCGGCATCTTAAAATGGTTGACCCAGAACCATGTGAGGAAATTCCTTGGCCGAAGTCCGCAGCTGCTTCTTCCGTTTTGAGGACCTGACTCAAAGTTCATCCTGAAAATGAGCCTGACTGAAGAGGAGTCTCGCGAGACTCCCAAGGCGAGGCACCGAACATGAACAAACCTGTTTTCCAGGCTCTCGCTTGCCCGTGGGCAAGCAGACAATTTTCAGGTTAGCCAGTGAAAACCTTTTGTAGGTCCTCCAGATTTGAGAGGTTAGAATAAGGGTACCCTTTTTCTGTAGTCTATTTTAGTAGGGGAACCCTCCCCAAAAAAAGGAGTGAGAAAGGGCACTACTGGGCCTAGTTTTGGAACCTTCACTAAAAATAGACCAAATCAAAAAGGTTAAAAGGTTGGCTGTGGGCAAGCGAGTGCTCAAAGCCAAAGGCTCCTGCGAAGTGCCTTCAACAGATTAGCACAAGCTGGTGAAGCTGCGCCCAAAATGATCCTTTAGTCTAGAAAATGTTAGACTAACTCTGCCCCAAAGTGCATCCTTAAGTCTAGTCTAGAAACCTTTCGGAACTGCCCCTTTAGATTTTGGATGCGCCTTTTGTGGATTTCACCTGTTCTTCCCCCTGTTGGTCCTTCTTTTTAGTAATATTTTAGTACTCTTTTAACCTTCTACAGGGGTGGGACCACAAAAGCCACATCCAAACCGTTTTCTAGATTTAGGGGCCCCTGTGGGTAAGCAAAGGTTTGGACAAAACCAAACCAAATTGGAATTGTGCCATCTACTTATATACATCCAACTGAACCCTTTTGGAGCAAACAAACAGCAGTCTATGAACGGATCCTTGTGACGCCCCTAAAAAACGAAAGAAACATAGAACCTGCACAGAGGGCCCTTAAAGGGAACATGATCTTCCAGGAACCTTGTTGTGCAGGTTCTACGTTTGGTCTTGGAAGGTTTGTGCAGACTCGGAGCTGTCCATGGTGCGATCCACCCAGTGCTGCAAGTTCCTCGGCGTCCTCTCCGGTCTGCTAAAGCCCGCCTGAACCGGCAAGCGAATCGAAGGACCGTGGATTCCCGGAAGGGAAAAAAAACTCACTTGAGTCATAATCAAAACCTGGTATCAAAATGGTCTACCCAGAACCATGTAAAGGATTAAGAAGGCGGATATCCGCAGCTATTTTTGCTTGGGATCGTCCCTTACTAACCTTCCTCTGGGCGCCGTGTTTCTTTGATTTGCCAAAAACCGAGCCCCGAAGACCCCTTGCTAACACCTTCCGTCCAGGTGAAGAAGACTTCCGAGGGGCGCAGAGCGGATTCCGTAACCTTTTGGACAAGTTCCTCCACTTCAAAGCGGATCCAGTTTTTCTTTGTGCTTTATTTTTATATTTATTCCAGTATTGGTACAGGTGATTTGTCCCAGACATTCATCCATCCAAACTGGTGCGAACTGAATTTGTCCATCAAAGCGGGGACCAAATTGCCAAACACACATCACCCTCGAAGAACAAGTATTGATCAATTTCTCTAAGCCACAAACTTCGCTTGAGCATCCGCGTAACGGGGGGGAATGTCTGCAACTTGGCCAAACCTTGGAAGGGTTTTGACTCGTTTGGGTGGCAAATCGCTAGAAATAGCGGGCCTGCCCCAAAATTCCAGCAAGCAAAATGACAACTCGGTTGCTTTCTGCTCCCCTGCTAAAAGTTTAACTTTTAGTGGTTTAGTGGAAAACCCATTAGTTGGCAAAAAGTTAAAGTCCTAACAGCCCTTGGCAAAATGCACCAAAGACAACACATTACCCTTCCACCAAGTCACATGGAACCTCGACAGGGGGCCCCTGGTCAAAATGGAACATTGTCTTTTAGGACACCCCTGTCAGGTTCCATGGCAACTCGTTTGAGTTCCCCACAACCATGTTACAAACCACAAACTTGATAGGGGCCCACCAAAAAAAACAACACCCTGGAAACATCCGTTGCTATCCGTTGCTCGTTCATGTTGGCTGATCCAAGGAGTTGTTTCCGATTTCCAGTTCTCACTCCTAGACGCTTGCAGATAACCATGAGATTGACCTCTATCTCACTTGCCCAAAGGACCTGGAACTAAAATGTGATCACCTTCTTGGGACAGTTACCAAAAATGGTTGCCAAAATAGAAAAACCAAAAGGTCAGATCTGGTCGATTCGCTTTGAACAACTGAGATGATATTTTGACCTCTGTGGTAAAACCATGATTTCACCTTCCCAAAGCTGGACATAGAAAAGCTTAACCTCTGGGGCCATGACTCAAAATGGGCCCGAAACCAACCACTCGGTCACCGCAAGCGAGTGACTTCCGAACCTGTCAGCAATCCCCAGAAGGCGGCGCCTTTTGCAAACTCCAAGCCGCTTCACAACCCGCAGGGAATCCATTTAGGCAGCCAAAACCAATGGATTTTTGTGTCCGTGTGTGTGTGCGCGTGTCTCAAATATTCGGGGGCAGGAATACCCATCAAAGGGTAGGTGCACCATCTTATGGTTTTGCGTGCTTTTACGCGCCACCATGAGGAACACAATGACTGTGGGTCAAATAGATAATTACCCAACATGGAACCCTGGTAAATGGAAAGGACTAAAACCCCCGAGTGCTGGAAGGTGATTATTGCGCTGCAAACGAGCTAATAAGCGGGACGGTTTCCAGTCCACAAGCAAAAACATGCATAGCGCCAGGCAATAATAAAAACAAAAGTCTAAACCAATATGCCTAGACTCCCGCTAGTTTGTTTGTGTTTGGTTTTAGTTTTTCGTTTTCTGGCCCTGTGCATGTTTTGGAGAGGTTGCTAAAACAAAGGTGCATGTTCGGGAGCATCAGTTTTAGGAGAACACCAGTGCATGTATCTTGAGTCTTCAATCCAGCACGTGCTTGCTAGCACATCCTGGATTGCCCTACGCATCGGTTTCAATAATTCAAACAGGGAGGCAAGGAAAGCATGTTTCAAGCATCAAGATAAGGATATTAATTGTTGGTTGCTGTTGACTGTTCTGCAAAAAGTTTTGGTGGGTAAAATGCACAAAATCCCACCTGTTTCAAGCAAAAAGTTCAAGTCTAACCAATATCCATAAAGTAATAAGGCCTTAAGAACTTAAGGGGAGGTGGGCTTGGCGCTGGGCAGAGGTTGGATGTTAAGGCCCCCAAAAGAGTTGCGGGATGAGCCGGATGGGTGCAGACCGAAGATGCTACAAAGAAAATAGCCATAACAAAACAACATCCAAACTGCTCTTTTTGACCATTCAAAACCCAAAAGCTGACGATCAAGTCCGAATCGGAACGATCCGGGAGTGAGTTAACCGTTTGCTTAAGCCCCCTGAAGAAAACAGCAAGCATATTTTTGGTATGGAAATTGACACCAACACTAGGCTGTCCTCGGATCCCCTGCTAAAAGTTTCAACTTTTAGTGGGTTTAATGCGGACACTACCACTAAGCCAAAAAACAATAAGGAACCGCACAGCTGGGAACCACCAAGATGACGCCTCTCAGAGAAAAAACGGGCGTCCTTTTTTGGTTGGTTGACTTTAAAGGGGTCTTCCCAAAAAAAGCAAAGAAGAGCGCCCCTGCGCAACTGAGACCTGCG